GAACTTCCGACCTTTAGACCAAAACATACTCTGCGAAAACGGAACTTTCCCACCGCACATACAAATGAGGTTAAATCCCTACTCTCCTCATTTAATGGGCACTGCAAAAAAGCCTTATTAAGGTCGAATATGGAAAAATAATTCGCCCCTTGCAGATGCTGATACATGTTTTCAATATCACCCAGTGGATAAGAAATATTCTTTATACGCTGGTTAACTTGAGCGTAATTTACAACGAGACGGTCACGCTTGGTTAAAAATGCGGGACTTTGATAAGGAGACGTGCTATGTTCAATAATTCCTTGTTTTAACCATTCATCAATGATTACCTTCATTTTAGCTATGGCCGGAGGACTTAAGTTATAGGGCCGTATCGAAACTGGAGTGGGGTCAGTGACCTCTAGCTTTATCTCAAGGTCGAGCGCTTCCCCTATTTGATCTGTGAAAACCGATGGATATTCGGCAATAAACTTTTCGGTTTCGTCTTGCATTTCTATGCATCCTATTCTTATCGAATTTAATCCTGGATCGATCTGGTCGTCCACATTTAATTCAATTAAATATCCTGGATCAAATTTGAAATGACAGGTCTTACTCTGGAAATCAATACAAAGCCCCTTGTGCTGTAGGAAAGGCATTCCTAAAATTATTTTGTATCGATTTGACTCAATGACTAAAAATTTCTCCCACCATGTAAATTTTCCAATTTTAATCCTTAAGTTGCATGCATTTATTACATTTATAGGGGTTTCATTTGCCGCCATTAAATGACTAGGTATGCTTTGTTTACATCTAATTGCATGTTTACTCTTCAATAATTGCTCGAATAATTCTAAACTTAAAATGTTGTAGGAAGCACCACTATCAATTAAAGCTGGGATAGTTACATTCTCATTGACAATCACATTTACGCACGGCAAATTTGATACCGTTCGGCCCTTTGTCGGCATACAATTCTTCCTATTTAAACTATTCCATTGTTTTGTTATTTTCCGGAACTCCTTCTTAAAATCCTTACTATGTTTAGTAAACTCATTATTGTGATTAACTGGGCAATAGGTTTGTTGATTGTTTTTATTGGCGGGAACATTTACCTTAAACTGGTGCTGTGACTTAATGGCAAATTTTCCCGCGTCTACTAGTTTTTTGAACCACGATAGCAATGCCGGGCTAAATGGCCTGGTCTGTTACAAATAAAACATCTCTTTACATCACTTGGTTGGCGACTGTGGAAGTTTGAGTGATGGTACACATTTTGCTCATTTATGTGATTTGCAGGCAATCCAACAGGCTGCGAAACAGGCATGGCCGCGGTTAATACCGGTCTCATAGGGACTACGTTGGCGCACGCTTTGTTGCGCAAATAATCATTATAGACCAAATTGTTCATTTGCACCACAATAAGTTTCAATTCATTCATTGTTTCGGGGAATTTATATACAGCTATCTTGTTGCGGGTGTCCGGGTTCAATCCATTTCTAATAGAGTCAAGCAATTGTTTCTCCGTTAGGTTTGCCATAAATACTTGGTTATTTAATTTAATTTCCTCGCAGTACAGCGATAAACTCTCATCGTAGCGTTGGGGACGATGAATGTACTCGTATTTAAGTTGCTCTCCCAAAGCTGCTGGAATAAATGAATTTAATATTTCCCTGCGTGTTTGTATGATACTTTTCCCGCCATTTTGGCATTCTATTATTGTTCCAATGAGCGGAGAAATAGCGTACCTGCTAATTATTCTAAATATCTGATCTTCGGGTAGGCGCGATTCCTGTTGTAAAATTACTGTCTGTCTCAGAAAGTTTAGTAACGGGGTTATCTCCATACCAGTACAATTCTCTGGAAATTTTGACAAAATTTTTTCCAATGGGTTTGCTAGTTTCTGGAACAAGTCGACCGGTGGCAGCGGTGTAGGAGCAGGACGAACAGGGTCCGCGGGGTGCGGGGGCGTACAGTGACCTTGAGGTGGGACGTGTGCCGTGTCGTGGTTCCCTAATCTCAGCTGATTACTAGGTGAAGAGGTGATAAGCTGCCCGGTTGATACGCCGTTTATTTCCTCATCGGCTGACTCACTCTCGATTAACGATTTATTTAATTCTTCTTGAAAACGTTGGTATTCGTCCGGAGCGATTTTATTCTCGATTTCTGACAGTTTATTACTAAGACTAATCATGGTTTTGTCTAACTCTTCAACGGTTTTGCGGTCGGTTTCTAACAGTATACTTCGTTTTAGCATGTTTGCTCTTAGCTCTAAATGCGCTAGCTTTGCATTTATCTTAGCTAAATTCAGTGCCGTAGGCTCTTCAGACTGTCGATCGATTAGCACTTGCAATACGCTTGACGCAATTTGGCAATATTTAATCTCCGCCAAAACAGTCAATTTATTTTCAATGTTTGAAAAATTAGGTGCCTGCCCAATGATTTTACGCAAGGATTTTCTGAGTTCATCTACACTTAATTTATTTAAAACCTCATGTTGACAGTCTAGCTCTCTGCACATTATTTCATAAATCAACTCGCCCTTCTGAAGATAATTGACATTGTAGTTCGCCATCTTGATAATAGGATAATTGCTGATAAGGTGAGGAAAGGAAGGATTTAGTGAACCCTACCTATTAGTTTCAAAATTCGGATCAACACATTAGAATTCTTTAAGCTAATTTAAACCTTTTTGTTTAGCACCTAGCTGTTTGATTTCACCGTTCTTTACTTGAACTATTTAAATTCAGCCTATTTACTAAACCGGTTTAAGATTGTAATGATAAAATACCCTCATAATCTTATTACAATATACTTATACCAACATGTCCTTTATCATCCCTTTATGAGTATAATAATTTCAGTTCAACATAATTACAGTTCTTAACTTAATAATCACATAACACCACACTGGATTTTGATACAGTAGTTCATAAAAGTTCAAATGAAATACTCGGAGTAGCCTAAATGACCTCGTTCAATGTCTTGGTTATCTTAAAGCTCAGGAAGTGTAGCAGAGTTGCGCAAATTAATTATATTCCAGGATGGCGAATTGAATATAATTATGAATTTAGATCCACTTCCTTTAGCTCGCAGATCAGAGCCAAGGGGTCGCCAAGTTGACCCGTGAACAAGGGGAGTCGAATAATAACGACTCAGTGAATTACGGTTCAACAATTTATTAATTTTTAAACAAAATAACCCTTTACACATATGCTAGCCTTAATTGTTATTAGTACCCAAAATTATGAAATGGTACATTACTCAATACAGCAGGGGTGGGCTGGGCCATCTTAAGAATTAGCTGTACAAATTTTGACTCCCGTCTGCAAAACCATTAACACAAGCTTAAATTAAAATAAAATTAATATTACAAGAGACCTGTTGGAAAAGTATTAAAGGTATAAAACATTGATTCGGATTTCTTATAAAGTGTTCAATACAAAAAATCATTCATTGAGTTAAGTTACATTAAATTGAATAAAAATTTACATTTGACCAGAACCTAATATTAAAGTTATATAATTCTCATTTTAAATTTATATAGCTCTCAAAACTCTTCTGTTGTTTTACTATTCAAGAAATTACAAACTAAAACAGGCTAACTGACCACACGTGGCAAACGAAATTTAACAGTAAATAAAGACTTGTACAAATTGGTTAATTATGTTTTTCAACTGAATTGTAGCACCTGAAAAGCATTTTAAACATGAATATAAAAATCCTTAAACTAAATAAATGTAACACTTACATTATCACAGGAGCCATCCAAACTTGTAGCCAGCACCCCCACTAGTACAACGATATGATTTTAAAACCCAACGGACAGATAAGCACTGCCGACCTCGGCCACCGCAGGTGGCGCTAAGGGCGGGAAATTCAAATTCAATTAAAATAGGCTTTAAAATTTCACAGCACACTATGTACTGGCATAACTTCACTGTTACAAACTACAAAGTTTAAACAATTAAGCTTTACTCTATATTTAGAGTAGCCTACTTAACTGGCTAGATGCCGAGTTATATGGATGCGAAGCAAGTTTTTGTGTTGTTATCAACAAAATTTACCGTGTCTTGCTTGCCTGAAGATGGTCGACCGTGCTTCAGTTCAATGTTAGTTGGATAGGCATGCTCAATCTATTCGTCTTGTGCGCCCGTAGTTCAGACCGGGTGAGCCGCAGGTAGCCAGGGTCTATTAAGTTAGTATATACAGTGTTTAGTGTGGTAACATTGAAGAGCGAGCTGGTCTAAAAGGTAGAGTGCGGGGCTTTTGACCTAGAGGTCCCAAGTTCAGATCCCGCCAATCACCAATGGATTTTATCCATGTGATAATGCTGTGACCCTCTATGACTAGCCTGAATAATGTGTAAAATAGTTTGGGGCGAGAACCTAGCATCTTAGGATGTGAAGGTGTCACATAAAAATATAAAATAGTTACATTATAAAGAGTTTCCAGTCTTCCATCTGTTTTGTGGTAAAACAATATTAAACCAATTGTTTTGTACACAGACTTGAGGTTTTTAAATTCACATATTAGGTTAGAATGTACTTAACCGGGTGGGGTCTTTGACTGTAGAGCATTTTATTGTAATTTTTAAGATTTTTTTTTGTTGTTTGCCAAATCATTTTTTGTGTTTTGATACAGTTAAATAAATATGTATACCAATTTGTGAGCCACTAAATCTTCTTAAAATAATTTTATTATTAACATTTGAAGTAGCACAGTGTTTACAACGTCATTCATAACATTTGAGGTTTCTGTTGGTTTTCATACAAAAATTTAAACAACACGTAAAAAATGTACTTTAACTTTAACACAAACAAAATTAAGAATTTATAAACTGTAAAAATTTATGTTTTAATCTATATGTTGATTAGGGTATATTATAATGCACAACAATGTTATTTGACAAGTTTAAAACTTCAAAAACTACAATAGGTAACAGTAAACTTTACCCTTTACAGTATAACATTACACCATTTACTATATTTTTTTAACTTTTATAATCTCGATTGACACAGCTGGAAAATCACTAACGGAAGATCTTCTTGAAGTTTTTCAAGAGAACTATTCCAACACCAATCTGAAGAGCCCGAGCGCGCTGACTGCGAAAGAGCTCCGGGATATCTTGGAACCCAAATTAGAAAGGGATTTGACAGAAGAAGAGGGAAGTATTGAAGAAATTATCAGATCATGGCGAGAAGACCCGGTTGAAGCTCCATTTAACATCAGAAATAAAACACCTGCGTCGAAAATTAGTAATGAAACACCTGCATCGAACTCTAGTATCTTATCATGTACATTGACCAGTAACAGAACACCTGCATTGAACATTAGTAATGAAACGCCTGCATTGAACATCAGTATCGAAACGCCTCCATTGAGCATTAGTATCGAAACACCTTCATCGAGCATTACTAACGGAACACCTTTATCGAGCAATAGTATTGAAACACCTCCTTTGAACAAAGGTAATGCAAAACCCGCCTCTGCCAGAAAGTCGAAACGGGGGCGGAAAAAGAAATGCAATCTATCAGATGATGAAGACGACGAGGATTATGTCCCGAATAAGTCTAATATTATGCATAAGAAGTCAAAAAAGAAGTACTGATTGTCTAGTAAAAGTGGTTATAATTTTGGTGAATAATTGGTTTAGTTGGTAGAGTGGTGGGTTTTTAAACCATGACAGAGACCGCTTATTGTGTGTTAGCATTGATTTTGTATTAGGCAATAATATTCAGATACAATGAGCTACCGGTAATGATTCCAGCCATTTGACCTAAAAGGTCCTGGTTTTATCCACTATTTAAGAAAAAAGTCAAGTAAAATATTTAATTGTAATTCAAATAATCATCATATGTAGAAACTTAAAAACTACCTCAAACATTATCTACCTTTTCTCTATTAGTTGTAATGATGATAGTTCAACCTCTTTTAATTTTTAATCTGTGCCATCCAGACAGCTGTTGGCACTGTACAAACCAAACTATACAAGGTGAAGTTCATACAATAAATGGATGTTAATTTTTAGGTATTGATAACAGTAACGATACCATGGTCTCTGTCTAGCTTGATACTCTTTGGTGTTTAGATTCAACGTACAATGCTACAATAGCTCAGGGAATGTGAGGTTTGTGTCCTCAAAAGCCTATTATTTTTATTACCTATAAATAGTTAAAACTTGAGAAGTAAGACTCTTAGATTTGACGAGCAATGCTATGTTTAAACTTAAACTGGGACCATGAGACTTGTGTCCTTGAATGCTTGTTATTATTTTTACCTTTGGATAAGTCAAGACTAAAGACATTAGTTTTAAAAAAATGCTATGTTCACACTAAGATTTTGAGATTTGTGTCAGTAAATGCTTAATATTATTATTTTTATCTTTGAATAAGTTAAAACTTAAAACAAAATACTCGTTGATTCGATGAACAATGCTATGGTCACACCAAGATAGTTAGATTTGTGTCCTTAAATGCATGTCATTGTTATTACCTGTGAATATTTTAGTTACATTTTGGTTATAACCAAGATTTAAGTATAGGTTATAAATTAGTTAATGCAATGATTCGGTGATGTACTTGTTTTATTCTTTTAAATGTTAAAAAAATATATTTTATTGTGTTTAAGTTGAGAACAATACAAAAACCTTGTTATATAATTTAAAACTGAAATTTTCATGGTTAATAAACATTAACTCATTGGAATATAGTTTGCTAATCCAAAATAAGAAACAAGAGAGATTATTTTTCAATTTTAGTTTCATTGTTTGGTTGGTTATTGTTAATACTGTTGAAAGATTTATTTTTAAACTTAGGTGCTTTTTGGAAACATTAATATATTTTATGCATGTTGTAATTTTAAATTTTAAATGTTGAACCCAGATTATTTAGTTCTAAATACGTTGGTACCTACATCTTTCTAATATAATTTATTTATTCTAATGCATTAGCGAATTTGATTTAAAAGATCTATCTTTGCTGATGTAAAATGAAATTGTTACACAAAATGTAACAAGCTGTAGTACAGGCCTGCCTCTAGTGAAATGCAAGTTACCTGCATGTAATGATGTTTTGATGTTTTTTCTGGCCATTATGATGTTTTTATGTAGACATGATTATGTCAAATTGTAGCTCAAGGTAAACCCCCCGAAAAATTCAATTTTATGCTTTTCAAACACAAAGAAAGATCCTCCTTGTTTTGTGGCAAGTACTGTAGTGTAGTTATATTAGTAAAAAAAAAAAAAAAAAAATAGCCTACTGTGTTCAAAGTTTTTTGAGACAATTGAAGAAGTGTTGAGTATGTTTTCCCTTTTTTTAATAACACTCAAAAATGATAAAATAAAAATAAAATGATTTGATTATTTTTTATTTGCTCTGTATTGTCAAAACATTTCACAAGTATTAGACCTTGTAATGTGATTAGGGTATACCCATAACCTCAAAATCGATGCGATCGTCGTTTTATCAGAGATTCTTGGTAGCCTAGGTACCGTAGTCCCGGCCCCAACAACCTCGGATAATTGAGAGTGTACTGTAAAATTTTTCCCAAGTATTTTTGTATAGGTATTTTTGTGATAGTGTGAGATATTATGTCTGATTAAAGGTGCTTCCTAATAATAGTTGTGGGGTATATGTAATTTCATGGGATTTTGAATGAAGCAATTCTATGATTAGTGGCGATAGATAGGTAATGACATGTAGAATTGTGTATTACCGGGTGTTTTGTCTTAAAGTGTGTACCTTAATTTAACTTAAATTATTTTTATGTTGAAACTTGTCTTTAGTTTAACACATACAGGGCTGGTCATCAGTGTTACAACAATTTTTTTGTGTAAGCACAAATTAAATGAAGTTTGATGATAAGAGGTTCCAAGTCTAAGAATTGATTCCCAAATAATTATACTATTTTTTTTTATAACCATGTGAAATTGCTGTATAGTGTTTAAAACATGGTTATTTGAGAAAAAAGTTAAAACAATTCTTTGGGAATCCAATTTTTAGACTTGGAACCTCTTATATGCATCATCACACTTCATATAATTTGTACTTACACCAAAAAATAATTCACAAATAAAATAACACACCAACAAAAAGTAACACTGATGGCCAGTCCTGTATGTCTTTAACTAAAGACAAGTTTCGACAAAACAATAATTTAATGTTAAATGAGTCATTTTAAAATTGTCAGATTTAATTTAGTGATTAATAAAATTTAAAACCAAACATTTACTGAGTAATTTGAGGCCAGAAAGATCTTAGTGTCATGTCAACAAGATATAAATCAAATCTACAAAGTAAAATAGATTGAAAATATCAAATCAACACGAGATATAAATCTTTAAATAAAGACTGATATGTAAAAAGTTAAATTTTATACAGTAGTGTTTTGGAGTTTGTTGCTCGACTCAAATTCAACCAATTTTAATGATCAATAGCTCAAATGAAAGCCCTTAAATCACTAAATATTTTAAGGCTAGAACGAACTACAAGCGATAATAAGAACTGGAAATATAAGTAAAATGTCAAAGTACGAAATGTCCATAATATATGTAAGGGGAAGAGTTTTCATTTGAATATATATTTCAAACAAAAAATGAAATTGAAAAACAGATTTTGGTATTGAAATCAGCATGAAAATCTATTTCCTAATGATGTGTCACAATACTATCATTGCATTAAAAAAAAATTATTAATATACAATATGGCGTATACAAGATGGCGGCCGAAATAACCCGGCAACACTTTCAGACAAAACACCCGGTAGTACATGTCATTACCTATTTATCGCCACCAATCATATAACTGCTTCATTCAAAATCCCACGGACTTTCCTATATTTACAAATGCCACAACACTATAGCATGTTTAGGGTAGTTATTTTAGCAGTACAGATAATTAAAAGATTTTAGACAAATAACCAATAGTTTGTTCATGAATAACATATATTTATTGTGCCATTTATGCTGCTTGCTAGCAAATTGACAGCAACAGATCTAATCCGGTTATTTAATATTTATTTATTTCTTTTTGTTACTCTGTTCCGTATCTTTAAATGTGAATATAAAAACTCAATGCAAAGTGATAAGAGATTCAGAGTAGACATTACAGTATATTCTCTAATGTTCAGACATTCGATAGTTTAAAGTTTTGACCTACGCTACACTACTTACCTTTGAATTTTGTATACTTAAGTAGACATCCGTCTACATGGAACCGCTGTAGCCTATTTTTTTTTACATAGTTGAATGAGCCAGTCACAGAGTTTGCTAGTGTCAAAAATTTTATTTTACACCTCATTTATTGTTACTAAGGTAGTTGATTTGACACCGGTGCTAAAGCTTAAAATAAGTTACCCTATCAGACTCTGTTTAAAAGTCTGTGTATTCAACAGAAATGGTTAATTTAAATCAACACTACCTGTCTGCTCAATTCAACTATCTCCATTTTGATTAAAGTTGAAAAAACTGACAAAAATTTAACAGAAATGGAGTATCTATCAATAATCAAAGGTAACTCTTTAACTCACACCTTCGGTTCTGTGGTGTCTGAACAATGGAGAGTCTACTGTAATTACTAGACAGGGTAGTTACAAAAGAGTCTGTATTGTTATTTTGTATTACTTTAAATGTTTGTGAGTTAGAATAGTATGATATAGGCCTATAATCTGTTACATTTCTGTTTGTTTTATGGAGAGTAGTAAAATGGTTTAAATGAAATATTTAGTTATTTTTAAAACCCTTGTTACCTTACGTAGTTAGAGTTAAAAGCAATGCAAGTGTACTGCAATACCTTTTCTTCAGGAGAACGTTTTGTCTTTGAACCACAAACAGTGACCAATCTAGGTTTCCAGCCAGAGAACTGGAGGTCTAGAAATATTTTGAAAAAAATTTAAGTCTGTGAATTATGTGTGGTTCTGGGACATTAACATTTTTTAATAATTGTCAAATACGTAAATTAATAGACAAGTGTTCATCCTAAGAGAATATGTTACTTCTTTTTCCACACCATAGTGTCAATCAAGAAGATCCTTAACTGCAGAAAATGGTTACAATGTTGCTGTGATTACAAGAGATGATTACAAATTTTGCTGCGATTCTGACACAAAATAATTTAAATTTTTTTAAATTTTAGGAACTATCAAAATTTAAGTAAATAATTAATGAATATTGATTTACAATAGAGCAACAACTATACTTAAATCAAAATTTCAGATGTGATTTAGGCTAAAGAGGACATAGTCATAAAACAGCCACAGTAGGTTTTTAAACATTGATTACACCAAAATTTTCAATTAATTACGGAGATATCTTGAGTTTGGGTGTCTCTTTCAACGAGCATTTTGGCACACAGAAAACAATTACACAACTTACAAAAAAATGTCCATGAATGTTTGCTAGTTTAGATAATATTTTTTTTAAGTTTCATTGTTTATCAGTTTTATAGATACTGAGCTACGTTTTGGATGCATCATAGTTTTTCATTCAGGATAGCTTCATCTTAGAATGTCAAGATAATGCTTTCTACTCTTGCAGGAGACCTCTATTAACCGACCCATATTAACTGCTGCATAAACCGCCTCTAACTAGGCAAAAATAGAGTTCGGTAATAGATGTAAATTTTTTATTCATATACTGTAATAGCAATAATACATTTTTATGCCAGTTTAGGTGTTTACTCACATGTTTACACCAACATGTAACCAACCTTTTAGGTTATCCGACCTAGTTCCCGTCCCATTAGGGTTGGTCAATAGAGGGTGTAATGTATTTTTAAATGTTGCACTAGTTGATTGTGAGTGTAGAAATTTTAAACGAGTGGAAGATTGCTGAGGCTAAAGAGAACGAACTTGGGTGTTGTAGTTCGCACGAGGAGAATGATGAGAGCTCCTGCGCCGATGACGCAGAACCGCTCTCTAACCGCCTCCCGGATAGTTCAAAGATCTCGACAAGCTCAATAGCAAAGAGCCCCTGTATTTGTGACGAGACAGTCACAAATACGTCAAAGGTTCGTACAGCCACAACGAACTAGGAGGTAAAGAAGTTTGTGCATCTGTTTGGATTTTTGTGTTCCAAAAAGGTTTTAAAATTACTTTGTTTTCAACTCGTTAATTTTTTGTTTGATAAATGTTAGCTTTTGTTTGATCTTCTTTTGAGAGTCCTTGATTACTTTAAATATCTTTTTCTTCTATTTCAGTTGTATTTTTAGATTTATACTAAAACATGGTGTTCTTAGATGAAACTCACCTTATGGACTGATCACAGAAATTGTGAAAAACCGAGTGTTTTACTGTGATCGAAAAAGGGACAATGTAGATGGCCCTATTTGTAAATAAATGTTTGTTACTGGTTTTGGTAGGCAAACTGAATGTAAATTCATTAAAAGGAACTTTATTGTTGCGCACATTCAAACATTGATTTTAATTTTCTCAGACTTAGCTATTTGTGATTTCGGTTTTTACTGTCTTCAACAAGAAAAATATTATACTGTAATTTCAAAGTGTTTTTCTTAAAATTTTGTACATAGGAGTATTAGTTTTTTATTGTTTTTGTGTTTAAAATACATAACATAATAATGTAAAGATGTGTCTTTTATTATTTGAGTATTGCTGTTATTCAATACAACAGTAAAACCTCACTAACTGGACACCCTGTAACTCTACAGTCAACAGCAGACTAGGTGCACTTGTAGGGCTTTGTCTTACTAGTGGCCAACTTTTCAAGTTTTAATTGTTAAATTTTCAACTTTTTTTAGATTGTTTACTGCATATAGAAAAATATGCATGTAAGTAATAAATTAAATCTAAAAAAATTATTAAAACCCATTAAAAATGTCAATACTCTGAATAACTTGACATCACTGGGACCACAACTGTCAAGTGTCAAGTTAGTGTACCGTAAAATATGTTTATATCAAATCGCCCCAAGGTATGACAAAGAAATATCACCAAAAAAAAACTTTGAATGTGCATAGATATTTGGATAAATTTGTTCATTAGTCTTAAGAAAATGTTTTATGCGGACATTTATCTTTATATTCAATGGATAAGAAAAACTTAATGTAACACCATTTTATTTTAAACTAACACATAATAGTTTGTAATTAGACTGTATTTAATATAATAAGATGTTTTACTCTACAGACAGAGTTACTGTGCAAAAATGCATCTAACATTTTGGTACAGTACTTACCAAGAGTGGTTTCATAAAAACATGAAAGTCAATTGACGGCTTAAATATAAAAACTTCTAAACTAAATAAGCCAAATAATAATAATAGTTTACAGATTTACGTTTTAAAAACTGTATATGATATCATTACTTTCGTTGTATCAAACATAGAAAGAACCAAGCATCCAATCCACCAGTGTTTGGATCATCTATTTTTTAAAGTGTTGATTTCTGAAAACTATAGGCAAAAAATTAGAATGCATAAAAAGCTGTTTTTGGAAACACAGAAGCAATTATAATGTTTAAATACACATATACAGGGTGAATTTTAAATGAGTTCCCCCCCTACTTTTTTCTACATTTCTTAAGATATCATCTCCGGACCACGTCAGATCATTGTTGAGTAGTAAGTACTTCATTTTTACTGGGTATACATTTTTGGCCGCCATCTTGGATCCGCCATATTGGATACAAAGTTTTTTTTTCAAATGTAAAGGTAGGGTTGTGACCAATTATTTCAAACTAAAATTTTACGATGATTACAATGCCGCAATTAGTTTTTAAAAATCTTGATCCGTTCTAAGGTTATGAGGAATTTTTATAACTTTATTTTTAGCCCATTTTAACATTGTGCATTAACAAACTAAGACCATAATCTCAAAATAGTGCTAGATAAAGATAAGTATACACCACCATTCATTGTCGACATATTTTCACTTGGTTATGACGGATGTCGTTTTTTCAGCCACCATCTTGGATCCGGCATTTTGAAATGTGATCAATTAATTTAAATATGAAGGTGGTGCTGTGACCCATCATTTTGAACTAATTTTTTATTCTGGACTCAATGCCGTAATCCGTTTTTGGTTATCAAGCTTTCTTGATGAAATATTAAAATACTCTTATTTAAATTTTCAATATTTCAAAATCCAAAGATGCAAATGAAAAATGAATTGCGGCATTGAGTTCAGCATAAAAAAGTAGATCCACCACGATAATAATGCACACTGATAGTTAACACAACTACAACTTTAAGGTTATGTGAAGAAATAATTTGAGGAATCAACAAAAATAATAATAAATAGTTGCTAGGCAGTGGTGATTTTGTATTGTATTTTATATGCATTTATCTTTTAAGAAAGTAAGCGGGCAGCTGATTTTGCGGCCCTAGGGATGTAAAAACCTGCTCGGTCCCCAAATGACGATGGTAACTTTCAGCCACCAATTAACGGTAACTTTCAGCCACCAATTAACATATGTAAAACAGCTAAAAACATCATAGTGTGGTGAAAAAGAATTACTCTGAAGCAGCTCAGCAAACAATAACATAAAAAGAATCTTGACTTTTCTCATCCAAATGTGGGGAACAAATTATTTACGAAAAGATGTATTAATATATGCTGCTTAGTATAACCATAGATAAAACGTATAACATTACACAATATGACACACACTGAATTAGAGCAACAGAGAGGCTGCTCTGACTATTGATATTATTTAATTGCCTCCCAACTACAGTATTGCAAAAATATTGTAAAAAAACATATAAAGAAATAAGAGTGGACGAAAATACCTGTGATTAGTTTAAGTTAATTATTTTAAACTATAAATTATTTTAAACATGTTGCATAATATGTATGTACATAATTAGCTCTTAGCCAACTAACCAGACTTACATTTTTAGCTTCTAAACTATCGATGAATGTAAACCAGTCGAATAATAAATCATGTTTTTTAGTACTGTATGTGTTTCATTTTCATGCTGTGTTATAAAAATGTAAATCTTTAATACAAATTGTTGTTTGAATTCTTATCCGTTTCTACCAGATTTCTGTCTTGGGATATTAGATTGTTCTCCATATTCTGTTGTGTTATTGGTAAACTTAAGTAAGTTTCCTGGAGGATGCTTAAAATACCTTTTTTCCTCTTCCCTAACCCAACCTCAACACAAAAATACAAAAGAAATTGGTTAATAATTGTTAACAAACTAAACATTTTTATAGTTATATCCTACACTCATACTTGGCTTAAAATACCTACCTTTGTATGGCTGCCATTTCAAAGAAAAAGTAAAAAAATATTCAAGTAAAACTAGAAATTTCAATAGATCCATCAAACAGTCTTTAAAATAATCATTGTTCTCCCATGAGATCCAAGTTATAATTGTTAAAAAAAATCTTTTTGATCTTAAGACGGATTAGCACATGGATTACCTTTATGGATCTGTTTTACCTGGCCTTAAAAAGGTTAATACTTAATCATCTTTGTCTTAATAATCTGTAGTTGTGTTTCTGGACATTAGAACGTATATTCTTAAAGTGACTAATCGATCAGGAGTTTTTGGCCTTTTCTGGAAATACATGATGAAAAAGAAATGCTATAAAACAGTAATATAACTTTGGACCCTTAAATAGACATAATATCATAGCTTTATCCATTTACCTTTACAAAGAAAATAGTTAAAGTATTGCTTAATTCGGAATACAAGCCAATAAATACCTAATATCTCTGTTAAAATTTGTCTCAAAATCAAATCAAATAGTT